AAAATCCACCAATCATAGACAAGAAAATAGAGCGTAAGTACTTACGTTTACTTAGCAAGTTTTGAAAGTATGGCCCCAGGTTTGGTCCATTAAAAGTGCTTATCAGCGCTACGTCCGCTCTCTGTTGACTCTATGTGTGAGAGTGTTGTGTGTTGCTATTTGGACATCGTCCCAGTTATTTATCTGAGAGTATGTGTGTAATGCAGATGTGTATAAGAGACAGGTCCCATGCAGGCGCGCTCCGAGGAGCAGGTGGCGGCGGCGCTGCTGGAGGCGGAGCGCGTGTGGCTCGTCCACCGCGGCGGCTTCTGCGCGGCGCGTCTCCTGGGCGACGACGCGTCCCCTGCGCCGCCCCTGGGCAAGCTCGCCCTCAAGCTCGAGCACAGCGGCGACGTCATACACGTCGACGAGGACGACGTCGAGAAGGTGGGTGATGATACACGTCGACGAGGACGACGTCGAGAAGGTGGGTGATGATACACGTCGACGAGGACGACGTCGAGAAGGTGGGTGATGATACACGTCGACGAGGACGACGTCGAGAAGGTGGGTGATAATGTTGGTGCTATAAGACGTCATACACGTCGACGAGGACGACGTAGAGAAGGTGGGTGCTCCCTAGTACGTCCACCGATACAAGGTACGCTGTCTATGGATAATAAAGGGACAATAGATTTCCTTACAGAGAAGTAGTAATTAAGTAATAATGTCACTCATTTGCTTGAATCGCAAATTCACTAAAAACTTAAAAGCAAAGAAAACTCCATAAAAATTCATAGTATCTTCAAAGAAAACGTTTCGAAGTCCTGACGATGGAGCTGGACTCCGAAACGTTTTCTTTAAAGATACTATGAATTTTGGTGGCGTTTTCTTTGCTTTTAAGTTTTTAGTAGTAGTAACCAAGTATAGTTTTTAAAGACTATGGCCTTTTCAGCAGAGAATGGAGCTGGTCCCGGAATTTTCTATTTTAAACGTGCTTGACATTCTTGATTTTTTTTTCTATCAAATTCGTGATTAAATTGGTACGTAAATATTCACCTAACTTTAAAAATTGATAATCACTTTCACACCCAATTAAAGTTCACGCCGTTGGGCAAAGCTCTTTAAGTTCACGCTATTTATGCATCTTACACATACGTAGGCCCGAGATCAATCGCACCGTACCTACTGAATACCTTTTTTTGTATCTTATACCTAGGTCCGAGATTTATCGCAGCATTATCCACTGAATAACTTTTTATGTATCTTATACCTAGGCCCGAGATTTATCGCAGCATTATCCACTGAATAACTAAATAATTTTTAATTACGTACCGTGTTCAGGCGAACCCCAGTCAGTTCGACCGGTGCGAGGACCTGTCGTCGCT